GTTATATATATAAAATGCAATACGGACGTTTCTCACACGGGTTCTTGATCACATTAACCATTCAGACTGCACTATGTCTGCCTGTTATTCATTGGCCGCCTGATGACTTGTACGACCAGTACCCGCTGCTAACATGCTTTTGCTTTGTTCATGAATTATTTTGCTTCAGGTTGTGCGTAATTCAAGGATTTACGTACGGTGCTGTTACTGGTTCTGCTGAACAAAACCTTCCCCATCAGATTATCTGCTGTCCCGTTTGAACTAGGGTGACGTGGCACTGTGCGCAAACGTCCGAAGCCAATACTGTCCAGTCACGCTTTCATCTCCGCTATGCAGAACTGCGATCTCTTTTCGGTCAGCAAGACATGTGGAATAGCCTCGCAACTGAAACACTCACATTAAAAGACGATTTGGTGTACTTATGAAGAAAATTTCCGGCCGCTTTCAATGTCAATCGATAAGGAATAAAGCATACTAGTGACCAAGGAAAGCGTCATGTACGGTACCATGGCCATGGAGTTTAGTGTTGTCTGCAATCAGTGGAGACACGCTTCATAACTCTTAGCTTTTCGAACGATAATTTGGTTCAGGCCGGGCCACAAGCATATCTGCCGCGTTAGGGACTTCATCTCCCGAATGTCCGTTGTTCAGGTCTTATCACACCACCTAGCGCAAAGGAGGTGGAATCATTAAATAGTCATTGTGGCATAATACTCCTTCGAACTGCTCAGTGGGCATAGAAAGAAACTTCTGTTTCAANACCCGTCAACAGTGTCGTCATCTTCTGTGCATAGTGCCGCTTGGTGACCTTACGCAATTCCTCCGCGACACAGGAATTACTATCACAATAACACGTCACCTTTTAGCCATAGAGACTTTGGACCATCTGGTTAGGAATTCAGCCTGAGGGATAGTTTTGCCTGGCGGATGCACAATGTGGTATTTATAATCAGTCAATGCAATACTCTGATTCTAAACCATGGCTGATGTTGGTTTAACAATTGATTGCTGTTGGTCACAACGATGGCTACTAGAAATTCGCCTGAAGAATTGTGCATATAGGAACCTGTATCGACAGAAGCCCTCGGCGTGATGACAGTAATGAAATGCCCGTATGCCGGATTCAGCAGATAAACATCGAGTTTGGTTTCGAAAAGTATATGCAACTATGCAACACTTTCATGAAATTTTCCAACCCCAAAGCGGTAGCTGCATATTTTTTCATCGGTGATCCCGCAAACCCGTGGTATTTAGCTATCATTTCATTGCCACAACAATTATTTTTTTCACGAGAATGTCGTACCTCGAGTGATGACACCCTCTCTGCATATTTCTATTTTCTAATTGTTTCTCAGCATACCGCATTGATCCTACCATATTGCAAGATGTTTGCTGAAACTTGGTACACCATAGGTTTCAAATCTGGCAGATTGGGTGAGCAGCTCTCAAGTATTGTTGAAAATTCCGTATCATTCATTGCATCTGTGTGGACAGTACGCAGACTGCGTATAAGCAAAAGCTTAAACGAACCACGCGTGACGGCCGCGCCCATGATGCACAGACTGCTTTTAACAATAAGGAAATTGACTGCAATGAAACATTTTACCGCTGACTGCACCATTGCCGACGCTGCACCGATTAATGGGAATTTGTGTCCAGTCTTGAAAGCGAGTTGTTCAACAGCTTCACAATACGTGTATCGTAGATCTTTGAGAGAAACGATAGATTCGACCCAACCGGTGTCTCCGACGAATTTATACTGCACACTAGATTTTAAATGGATTGTTCGTATTCACTCTAGAATGTTTGCAATTGATCCCACCGCAGCGATGGAGTTGTGTCGGACTCCAGATTTGAAGACAATATCCCTGTGGATGATCCACTTGTATTCACCCATGGTTCGTAATTCATAAATCAGACTGGGTTCCCCCTGACAGCAATACATACTCTTCTCCAGGTTGCATATCCGCACACAGCTCACATGAACATGACTAACTTTCCCATAAGCATGACATTTCGCATCTCTGGATCAGCAATCTGACCGTAGATAGAATTCGCCACACGACATAAATCGATTGGTGTTCGTGGGCGTTTCTGGTCTGACTACTTTGTCTTTTGGGAATGAAAACTGGGGTTTGCCCAGAGCCATATATCTTGGTGAACCGCTCTGGAATAAGGCGACCGACTCACCGGTTGTTGTTGCAACGATACCATTTTTCTGCTCACGTATCCTTCGAACGCAGGAAAACATAAGGTCCTTTTCCTCCAGCACTTCCCTGAAGTAAGGTGCTCACAAAATTGTTCCCCAGCCCGTCTCCATGATTGCCCTTGGATGTCTGTTTTGAGCAGTATGAGCAAATCTGGACACAGCAATGTCTTAGCATGAAGAAAAGAATTGAATTTTGCTACAGCTTGGAAACCCACAGGAATCATGTGGACAAGGAACAACTTCTTCGGCGTTGGAGATGAGAATTTGGCTGGATTGTTAACGAAAGCAAGATTCCTCATTACTGAGAATAGAATTCAACCATCAACCACCAAGACTAGGGCTGACTGTTTCTGCGTGCCACCCTTAATAATACTGCAACGCAGTTGGAACAGCAACTGCCCATTTCGATCTCGGGTGACAGAATCCAATCCTTCAATGCTCAGATGTTCCTTGATGCAACGCCAACTTGTTGCGCTCTAACCAGAAATTGCAGAAGTGATCGAAATCGTACCGGTAATCAGTTACCAGAGCCTCCCATGCTGATTTTGTTTGAGCTACATTATACTGCGAGTTTGTTGACGGTAATGATGTGAGTTGGTGAGCTATATGCTCTACAGAACCAGCCATGCTCGCAAGGATGGTAGGTGCCTTTTACTTAACATCGACTTGGTCAGATTCAGTTTTTATAACCACTAACGATATACATTCGGTTGCTGTTTTTCGACTTCCCATTTGTGTATGACAGCAGAAAGAAGCTTGGAACGTTGAGAACAGATTCAAGGAAAAGAAAGAGAATTCATATGAACTAAAGTTGCAGGGATGAATAGATGCACGAGAGCCGCAGCTATATTATTTAGTGTTTCTAACCACCGGGTCCTTTTCGTGCGATGAACAGCAGAAGAGGGTGAACCCCATAGTCGAAAAGACCTGCTATTCCGTGATGGACACCGGCAGCCTAATCCCCGGGATTTGGAGTGGCGAACCGGATAAGATCCTGTTAGGTGAGGTATCAATCGTAAACCAGAACTAAGCCTACAGTAGTGCAGTATACGCGACTTTTCAACTTCAGTGAAGCGTCACGTCATTGCCACAGATGTTTCAGTACTGCGTGCACCGCTCGAGCTTTGAAGATGTGTGCGGTTACTTCCTTTGACACGTTACTGTCGTTGGTCACACAGCTACTGAAGTACGAGAAGTAGTAAACTTCGGCGAATGCCCAACCATCTAGCTTTAGAACGGGACTCGGCGACACTCATTCTCGCTGCATTACCTTGCACTTTGAAGGTGCATGCTGAGCAACGGAATTTGTTATCTTTTCTAGGGTGCTCTGCGCATCCTCGACATATTCAAACAGGCAAACGATGTCGTCAGCGTACCTCCTGTTGCACACCCTTTTTATCCAGCTTTCAATTCAATACCGACATTTGGGAGATCACATAGCGCGTTCTCCTGTATTTCTTCCATGACGAAATTCATCAGGTAGTTAAAACGCAACCTGCAGTACTCCTCACAGTAAATGCTGTGGTAAACCGATTACACTGTCTTATGCAAACTGGGGAACGCCCTGATGGTTTGTGTACATGGTTTCAAAGTTCAACCAACCCATTTCCAGTAAACGGTTGGAAACTGGCTCTGTGTTGATTTATCTAGACTGATTTTTTAACGAAGCGCATTAAACAGCCCTTCAGAGGGCGTAATACCGATCTACAGTCGATTGCGATATCCAAGAAAATTTCCATTAAAAGACCATTCTAAACTAACAAGAGTACCAAAAAGTGAATACCGATATAATCAATATGGAAAACTTTGCGATTAACCACATTTTAGTTATTACTGTGAATAGTATTACTAACCTGTCTGTTTTATAATACATATGGGCGGGGTCAATTGAAATAGCAACTAATCATGCAGAGTTGACTCAATAAACCGATAAGCACGGGATTAAGGTCAACAATATTAGCCGACTTCGCAAAAAGTTCATTTCATCAAAGCAAATTAGGTGGCAATATAGAAGCTGTGTGTTGATACTTCCAAAGACGCCCTAATGCCCCAAACATGTGGATATTTTTTGTTGAACAAGTGACGCTCCACGAAGGGTGTGAAGGAACCCCGAGCGAAGGAAAGAAGGCTCCATGAATTCAACTTTTCGTGTCGAATAAGCAGCAAAGGTTGCTGTCAACAAAACACTAATTGAGGCACACAGGCAAACACAGGAAATTATCAAGTTTCCGTGGAAAAATATGGAACATGAGCCTCATTATGAAACTGCACGTAACGTCGAACGACTCTGGATTCGGATATACCCCACTTTTCCTGTACCTTCAAAATAAACACTTGAAGAAAATAGCATACCTACTGGTTGGGGTGATTATGTAGCAAATGCACTATTTTTCACTCTCCTCCGAGCAATACGAATTGTGAAAGTTGAATCAGTATTGACAGGATAGATCATGGTTGCCGGATTTTCAGACGGAAGTAGGCATGACCACTTCGCTAACAAATGACAAAAATGAAATGCATTAAGCCAACTCCAGAAATTTCAACAGTGAACAAGAACTGTCAATGCCCCCAAAAGGTATGCAGCCTACGGTCAATGTGTGGTGTTCACGTGTGAATAAGCGTGCTTACAATTGTGTACGAATTGCACGATGAGATTCAAAGTATAGGCTGTTTGGTAGGTGGAAATGTTTGGGAAGAAGTGAGTAAGGATAGTCGAATCAAGAATAAGGAGGGACGACGGGGGGGGGCAATTATCAACATTGTTTACAAGCACGGTCAGAACCTGAGCGGATCACGTTGCATTACTGGTTGCAGAAAGTGGATGACCTGGGTTGATGACGTTTCGCGGAGCATTACCGCTGCCACCAGATCGCCAATAGCTTCCACCGATTGGCCGACGTTGGCCATAGTTACCGTAACCGGAATATCCACCACTTCCGCCACCACCATATCGATGCTGTCCGTAGCCGCCACGTCGAGGAAGCTGTGACCCGGTGGTACCGAACGTGGCGGAATTGAGTAGGCGCTCCTCACGTCTGTTCATTCCTTGTGGGTTAACACTAATAAGAAAGCACGAGATTTTTATCAGACTGATGTTTATGTCAGAAAATGTCTTTGACTGCTAGCAAAGGGAATAAATATGCAATATCGAAGTAACGACTTTTAATTAGCTTAAAACATCAGGACCAATTACAACTTCGTTTTGGAAACCAAGTCTACCAGTCCACAAGTATCAAGCTAAGTAAACGAATGCAAGCGTTAGAAATCATTTCATCAAAAAAGGAAAGACAATCCGAGTGGGAAAGAGGTAAAAACAAAAACCAGGGTAACTGTCATTTAACTTAGAATCGTATCGAGTAGCATGAGCACTTGGGTACTAATTCCGAATAACATCCGCTTTTATGAGTTCATACTATACTTCGCACTTGATGTGTTCATAACTAAATTCGAAAAGAGGAAGAATATGTTTTGCGATCGGAGATGCAGGATCATAAAAGGTATTCTGTTGGCGCCAACAGATAGCCACATACTAACGATTGGACCAAATATTTCGAACATATGAATACCTCGGATTCTCACGGGCACGTTTACAAAGCTGACAAAGAATAATCAACACCTTCAAAAGCCTCAGTATAGTCGGGGGTGAGTGTCTAGGGTTGCGGCTGGTCACCTTCCCCATGCACCTTCCAAAATGCTCCCATACGACCAAGCATCTCGAATTGCCTCTACTGAAGCAGCCCCACTCACTGCCTTCTCGTGGCGGTGTTTTCACACCAAAGTGAGAGGACAAAAAGCCGACATCCGGGGCTATAACCGGGTTGGTGGACCGGCAGTTCATCCAGGGGATTTGGCCAAAAGCCATGATTCCAAACCCACTATGAGGCGTACGAAGCACGCCCACTCCTTTTCGGTTGTGACAGTGGTCAATGGCTCGATTAGGCATCGTATTGGGCACCTTGGACGTTTGACTCCGTCCGAAG